ATCTTCTAGTGTGCGTGATGCTCTATCCATATGACATCCAACCAAAGGGAAATGAAATCTTAACATCCTAAGGAGGACTGAGATTCTGAAAACACTAAAATGTAGTTCTCAACTTAAACAAGACTCTGAAGCGTTCTTAAATATTTTCTTATCATCGATGTACATATTAGGACAACAGTATCAGTACTAACTCCAGACATACACACAAGTCCAGTGGCTATCAGTCATCCTGGTGAATACAGCCCTTGGAACAAACAGGAAATCATAGAATTTTCTAAACAACAGAGGATGCTTTACATCATTGTCTGTTGGTATTATTTTGTGCCTCAATTCAAGCACGTGTACACACATATACTCAATCCTCTTTGGTTCTCTTTGTATCATCAAGTACATATTGCTTCCAATGCTAGTGTGTTTGTAAGACCCCTCACACGCTCAGAGCAGAGACCCCTGGGGGCATTAGGGAACTTAGAAGACTTAAGCAGATCCTTTGTCCACTGAGAGAATGTTCTTTAAAACTAGAGAATATTTGTCCCTAAGCCATTCTGAAAGAAATTACAGATAAATACATTAACATAAATACATTAACACATACAGATAAATACATTAACATATACAGAAGCCCAAGTACTGAGAAGAACCATTTTTATTACTTTGGGAATAGTTGGCTTTATCTAAGATGGAATGAAATTATAAATTAGGAATGCAAATATATGTCTGAATATATGCACAGGTACATACATGTCCAAAACCACAAAATAGCATCTCATCTTTGTCACTCAAACTTCAATTATTAGAATAAATGTTTGCTCTTACTAAGTGCCAGTGGCTCATTCATAATCCTAACTACTCAAGAGGCAGAGATCTGAAGATCATAGTTCAGAAGCCAGCCTGGGCAGGAAAGTATATGAGATTCTTACATCCAATTAATAACCAAAAAAGGCTAGAAGTGGAGAAGTGGCTCAAAAGGTAGAGTACTAGCCTTGAGCTAAAAAGCTCAGGAATAGTGCCCAAGCCCTGAGTTCATCTCCAGGTCTGGTACAAATTAAATGCATACATACATTCATAAATGCAGACATAAAATTGTTTTGCCTAAATTGTTAAATTAATAATACATCATTCTCCAGATACCACATCAAGCTTTCATCACTTTTCATGGCTTCATCTCTTTCAAGGGAGTTAACCCTCACCCCGCCTCCACCCTACAAGTGTGACCTGATTTTGCCATGACTGAAGCTCAGAGAAAGGCAGGTCATTTTAGGTGACAGGGTACAGAATCAGAAAGAAGCTTCACATCTTCTAAGTCACAGTATTTTTCTGGTACTAGATTGACTTCATGTCCTAAATGTGAGAGTCAGTACCTACTCTGGTATTTCTATGCGTAAATAATTAAATATACCCAAATATCCATGTACAAATAAATCCTAGGTACATTCCCAAAGCTCTTGATTCTGATGTCATTTCCTGACTGTTACAGTGAGACTCCATCTTTCATCAAAGATTGAGTCCAGGAGAAACCCCAGGGTTCCAGGAAGAAGATCCCAGGCCTCTAGCTCACAAAGTTTTCCACAAGACATTTTGGTCAGAAAGCAGAATAAATGAGACTATCCGGACCACCATAGCAAGTCTTATTGTGGAAACTGAAGAACTAGATTGCATGGGCTTCTAGGATCCTATGAGAAATCAATCACACAAATCAATTCCATGGAAGACATATCAGAGAAGACAGTCTCAGAGAGGCTTAACTACAGGGAGGACTTTTAAGCAGAGTCTCTTATTTTTCCCTTCCTTGCATTTTATATTGTTTTGAGCCCATAGTGGAATCCACACCTCCCATCCTTTAACCTGTCTTGTCCCTTGCTGCACCTGTCCTGGGCTGTGTCTCCTAGAACAAGTACCCCACTCTCTTAAAGAAATCTCCAATCTGTTTAATTCTGCACCACCAATGTTTGATCAGCTTAGGACTGATTCTTTACACTAGTAAAATCCACTGTTTTATTTTGTTCATTTTTTCCATCATTTACTGCCTGTTATTTGATTCCAAAATGAAATATTGAAAATTGAAAATCTAGTGTAGTTGCCTGGGAAAAGAATTCTACTCCTGGGTGACAGACTTAATCAGTAACTAAAGCCTGCTCCTCAACCTGAACCCTCTGGCTGGCATGAAGGATGCCTGTCTTGTCTTAGCAGAGTCCTCACAGCTGGCCTTTGGGTGTGCCCTGGACTTCCCTTCTTGCTTTTAACCACATCATTCTGGCGCCAAATGCCTTCTGCTGTGTCTGAGCAGAGCACCTGTTTAGTCTGACTCACTCTATCAGCACGGACTCTCCCTCCTCTGACAGTAGAGCAGACCTCACACAGACATGCGTGTGACTAGTTAGCACGAGGCTCTGTGTAATGGAATGCCCCGTGCACAATACTGCTCCTTACAAGAGAAGGAAGGGATTCTTACCCCAGATATCCACGAGGGGAGATCAGCTGAACAATATCTCTGTGATCCAAACTCAGAGGTGGGTTTTTGTTTTTGAAGCTTAGAAAATCACTGCTAAACATTTTAATGGATTATTTTTGAAAAAGCACATTTCAACAAGTTACCTTGTTATAACTATCACATAAATAAAAGCCAAATATACCAAGTAGACATTACTAAGAGAGAGAGAGAGAGAGAGAGAGAGAGAGAGAGACGCCCACAGTAAATTGTGTTTTCTCTGTGATATTTTTATCTCTAATGAAATGTGTGTTTTGCAGGAAGTGAGGTGGAAAGGGCAAGAAGAAATCCTGTCCCAATAAAGCAGGTGTTCAAATCTAAGCAAACGCTCACACACACACACACACACACACACACACACACACAATTCAGCAAGCTCACAACTCTGGCTCTGATGTCTCCTCCAGGTTATACAGCTTGTGGGGACAGCCAGTGTACATTCAGATTTTCCTCTCTCCTGCAATATAGTGCCCTTATATAAGGATTCATGTGAATTCCTGTGTCTGACATTTAAATCAGTGACTGATGGAAAGAAATGAGGAATCAATGTCTGAGTATGTTTTGGAGGAGGCATACTCTCAAAGACTTCCTGAGTCTTTGAGACACACACACACACACACACACACACACACACACACACACACACACACACATTTTCTCTGCTCAAGATTACAAAGCTATGCACTCTAACAATGCATTTTTCTTTTACAAGTCTTGACATCACCACTGTTATTTTCTTTCTTTATTCTCCCAGCACCTGTTAGAAACAAGAGTAGGGTGGTCTTTGGGGGAATTTTTCTAAAGAGCAAGAGGCTGTAAAAGTGTGAAATGCACACAGGTGCTTGTATTCTGTAGAATTTTAGCTTTAAAATGAGCCACCTTAACAGATCTCTGCAGTCATGTCATTCAATGGATATTATGTGAGAATGGAACTAAATTGAGGCGATGGGTGGATTTGGAAGAGGTGGGGAGGAATGATGGAAAGGGTGACATTAACCAAGGCACACTGCACTCATACACTGACAAGGTGAATTGAAGCCCCTTTGTACAAGGACCTAAAGATAATAAAAGTGTAAAAATAAAAGAGACTATGTACAAATTCCAAGTGTTTGTATGGTTACTGCAATATCTGTTTAAACCTTTAAGCAAGTATTACTCCCAAGAGAATCCTTTTATTTTTAATTTAATACAGGAAACTGGAAGATGTGAGAGGGATTTTGATGGCTTTCTACTGAAGGAAACAGCACCAATTCTAAAAGACACTATTTTAAAAGAATGAGGGCAGGTGCCTGTGCCTAGTGTCTGTAATCTTAGCTCCTTGGGAGGCTGTGATCTGAGGTTTGTGGTTCAAAGCCAACCCAGACAGGAAAGTCATGAGACTTTTTTTTTTTAATTTTTATTTTATTTTATTTGAGAACATACTGTACAGAGGGGTTACAATTAGTCAAGAGACTTTTATCTTCAATTAACCACCCAAAAGCAGGAAGTAGAGCTGTGGGTCAAGTGATACAGCACTAACCTTTAGCACAAAAGCTTAGAGAGCATGCCCAGGCCCTGAGTTCAAGCCACAGAACTAGCTCTAAATATACATAAATACATATACATATATACATATGTATATATGTATATGTATATATACACGATTTCTTTTCATGAAAATACTTTGTGACACATAAAAAGAGATGAGCTCTTGTCAAACATGCTGATGAGGTTGCAGATGACCGTTTACCTATTGTTCTCAGTTTAATCTTTGTTCTCTTCAGGGGCTGGCATAGTCAGAGCGCTCTTGGGCTCTAAGGTATTGCTCTCCTGCCACCACAGTGAGTTTGGTGAAAGTGACAGTGACAGAATGACTTAGTCGTCCCCCCTCCCACCCCTGTGTTTGCAAGGCTTGTTCCCAGGAGCGGCGCCCTCAGCTTTGGGGTGCTGAGTGGATTTCAGTAGTCCACCTCCCTTTCTCAGCAATCAGAGGCTCATTCGTTGCATCCATGCAAAGAAACTCTGCAAATACCACTTCCAAATATAGGCGTCTCTTGCCACCAGAGGCTGACCTGGTGTCTTCCTTGGCCCACACTCTGCCTCCCGCCCCCCTCGACCCCCCACCCCGCATCTGCTGCGCCCCACATCTGGAAGGAGCCTGGCCCTTAGGAGGGGACCGAAATCCAGCTTCGGACATCTAGGCCTGGGGGAGCACGACTCTTGCTGGCAAAACTACACACGTGAAATTACGTTTCTCGACAAGACTTTTAGAACACTTCATATTTTTTTTCTGTCTACCGAAATCTCTACAAACCAGCCGATGTTGAACCAGAATAATTCAGGCTGACAACAGATTCTTCCTCTGTGCTCAGCTGTCCCAGGGGGAGGAGCTGAAATCCGAAGCTCTCGGCTGTGATTGGATCCTTCTTGCAAAAGAGAGGAGGAAAAAAAAAAAAACCCTCCGAGCCCAAAGGAGGCTCAGTTGGGTAAAGGAACCGGGTGACTTCAGAGGCGCCGGCCCGTCCGCTGCCGCTCCGAGCGCGGCCCTCGCCCGCCCTCGCCCGCCCTCGCCCGCCCCGCAGCCGGCCGCGATGCTGTAGGGACCGGCCACGTCCTCCCGCCGGACCGTTATCCGCGCCGGCGCCCGCCGCACCCGCCCGCAAGATGCCGCGCTCCTTCCTGGTCAAGAAGCATTTCAACGCCTCCAAGAAGCCCAACTACAGCGAACTGGACACACACACCGGTAAAACCCAACGGCCATTCTCAGTCTCTCTCTCTCTCTCTCTCTCTCTCTCTCTCTCTCTCTCTCTCTCTCTCTCCCTCTCCCTCGCTCCCTCCCTCCCTCCTTCTCTCCCTCTCCCTCCCTCTTCCTTCTCTCCCTCTCCCTCCCTCCCTCCTTCTCTCTTTCTTCTCTCCTCTCTCTCTCTGCAAATCTGCAAATCTGAATGTATGTATCACGACTTCGGTGCTATTACCGAAGAACAAATGATCAAGCTGGGCATTCTTAGAAACACTATTCTGAAAGGGAGTTTGTGTTCTCTGGATCACTTGGGGTACGTTTTAATTCAAAACTTGTGGAGCTCTTCGCTGACAAGGGAGACTTCCTTCAACTCTGGTAACTTGGTTTTCTCAAGCTTGTACGTACACGCATAATGAATGTGCGGAAGACTAACACATAAATGCTGAACTATAGCTTTTTTTCATGTAACATTTTCCTTTCCTTTCCGAGGCAACTTGATTCAGCCAGACCCGTTGAAACACATGTAAACTAGCCCATGCATCAAATACAAAACAACTGTTTTCCTCTGAATGTTGGAAAATAAGGTTTAGTTTCTTCCTTCTCGGAGGGGCTGCTTGGCTGTGTTCCCTCAGTACAGACCTCAATACAGGACAACTGTCACACTGTGCGTGCATTAAATGCGATAACTATCCAGAGGGCTGGATGACAGGAAATGCTTCACCAATGCTGATGTCCTTCTAAGGGAGTCTGGTCTTTACAAAACTCTGTGTGTTGCTTTCTCACTTGTATGTATTTTTAAAAATTATTTTACCTTAATCTTTCTTTTCCTTTCTTCTTCCCCCTTCCCCCAGTGATCATTTCTCCATATCTCTATGAGAGTTACCCTATGCCTGTCATACCAAAGCCAGAGATCCTCAGCTCAGGGGCGTACAGCCCCATTACAGTGTGGACTACAACAGCTCCGTTCCACTCTCCTCTTGCCGGATTCCCCTCAGCCCTGGGGCGAATGAGCCCCCCTCCTCCTTCCGACACCTCATCCAAGGACCACAGTGGTTCGGAAAGCCCCATTAGCGATGAAGAGGAAAGACTACAATCCAAGCTCTCAGACCCCCATGCCATTGAAGCGGAGAAGTTTCAGTGCAATTTATGCAATAAGACCTATTCCACTTTTTCCGGGCTAGCTAAACACAAGCAGCTGCACTGCGATGCCCAGTCTAGGAAATCTTTCAGCTGCAAATACTGTGACAAGGAATATGTGAGCCTGGGCGCCCTGAAGATGCACATTCGGACCCACACGTTACCTTGCGTCTGCAAGATCTGCGGCAAGGCCTTCTCCAGACCCTGGCTGCTTCAAGGACACATTAGAACTCACACTGGTAAGAGAACATGTGGACAGGAATGTGGCTACCCTCTCTAACGACGCGTGGGGTGGACTGCTGGCCTTGTATGAAGTGGTGGCATAGTTCTTTTGGGGGGACAGTTCATCAAGGAGGGCCACTTTCTGACTACTCAAAAACTTGTCAGTGCTCGATTTCTTGCTAACCACCTCTGCTCTGGAGACTGCAAATAGCATTTAGACTTTGGAAAGTAGATTCTGGTGGTTTGGTCTCAAAGATCAGGTAGAAAAATCAGGATGGGTGTACTTCAATGTGTGCTCTGTGAAACTGACCCTAGTAATCAGCAAAAACAAATGTTGCTATCTTAGTCAATTGATTTGGTAAATAGAGGCTTTTCCTATAGTTTTCTGTTACTACCCATTCTGGCAGTGAGATGTTAAGAGAGTTGGATACTTGGAAGTAAGTTTGATTTGTATCTTTTCTTTCGTTTTCTTTAAAAAAAAAAAAAAACAACTTCGCACATCATCCTGCCGGAGGGAAGGAATTTCAGCTGCCTGAGTCAGAATACAGAAAGAGGGGAAAGGGGGAAACATTGGGAAATGTTGGGAGGTGCCTGCCATCAACTGCACCTGCTAATGTAAAGCCTTCCTAGGAGAAAGTCCCACAACTCTGTGAATTATTTCTGCACAACTGGCAGCACACATGCCATTCTGGCCAAGATTTATTTTTAGCTGCAGAATTTATCTTAAAGGGCCAGATGTTAATAAAAGTACCTATTGTGGGGATATAGTCAGGCCTTGTCATTTTTCATTCTTTCCTTTTTAAGATTTTTTTCATTTCTATTATCTTTACACTTCTCATTCTTTTCGCAAGATGTGATTGGTGTTCATTAACATGATTCAAATTTATATTTTCTCTGAAAGTGCTGACTTGTCTTTTTATTTTTTCTCACTCCCTAGGGGAGAAGCCTTTTTCTTGCCCTCACTGCAACAGAGCATTTGCAGACAGGTCGAACCTGAGGGCTCATCTGCAGACCCATTCTGATGTAAAGAAATACCAGTGCAAAAACTGCTCCAAAACCTTCTCCAGAATGTCTCTTCTGCACAAACACGAGGAATCTGGCTGCTGCGTAGCTCATTGATGCAACCAATGTTTACTCAAACAGATGCATTTCTTCACTCCGACACCAAATGACAAATAAAGTCCAAAGGCATTTTCTCTTGTGCTTACCAACCAAATAATATGTATAGACACACACATACACATGCATGTGTGTGCACTCACATACATGTGCACATACACAAGCTGCAAGAGCACGGAACCCATGTGTTGAAAGATAATCCTTTCCATGTGAAGTTGAAAATTACTATCTTTTTTTGCTGACAGCTAGATTGAGAAGATAAAAGACAAGAACCTTTCTCTTCAAAGATGAAGTGAAAAGCACATTGCATCTTTCCTTACGGAAAAAGAATGCAAAGATTTACATTGCTGCCAAAACATTTCAACTGAAAAGAACAGTATTGCTTTGTAATAGAGTTTGTAATAGAATTTCCTATAGGAAGAGAATCTGCCAGACGCGATCTCAGGTGCCTTATAAAGTATTCCAAGTTTACTTCATTACTTGTCTGATGTCTGGTTTGCCATCATTGAATTAAAGCCTTTTTTTTTTTTTTTTTTTGGATTACTTATAATGCTTTAAACTGTATTTTTAAGAGAGGAAAAAAATAAGAACAAGAAAAAAACACAGGAGAATGTATTAAAAGTATTTTTGTTTTCTTTTATTTTTGCCAATATGTGCCTTGGGAGAAGAGGGAAGGACCGGCTTGGGACATTCCTGGTACATGCGCCATGTCTTACTTTGTAAAAGAATTGTAATGATTTTTATAAAATTCAGTAAAGATGGGAATAAGTGCAAGAGGATTCTGAGACATTCAGTAATGTACCAAAACTATTTTAAATGTGTATGACAGATGCAATAATACAACACCCCTCCAAGTGCCTGTTTTAATTAACTGTGTAGTTGATGAGTCAATGTAAATTTGTGTTTATTTTTATATGACTGAATGAGTTTTGTATGAAAGTAAGATGTTGTCTATAGCTGTGTCTATATACAACTTGGAGACTTGTGAAATCAATGTTCCTTTTTTTAAGAAAAATAATTTTTCAAGGTCCTTTTTTTACAATAAACATTTTTGATTGAAAATAGTATATTTTCAGAGACTTTATTGGTTTGTTATTGGTAACAAATGAGATACAAAGAATCATTTCTTGTGTTAATAAGAGAAAAAGTAAATGATGCGTGTTATACCTGTCAAATGTTATTTTACGTGTTAGGTTATAGTAAATTGACATCTGTTCTTCTTCCTTTTAAGGTAACACTAATATTCAGAAAAGACAATGATAGTTGTTTAGCATATCCTTTTAACAAAAACCATACTTTCTCCTTATTAGTAGTCAAAAATGCTTTTCAAAATTTTATATGACTTTATGGCTTGAACTCAGAGCCTTGTGCTCTTGCCTAGCTTTTTCACACAAGGTTGGTGCTCTACCACTTGGGCCACACCACAACTTCCTTCTATGACTTTATGAAAGCAAGTTCTGGTCACCTGTGTGATCTTCAATTGTTTGCATAAACTATGGGGCAACACAGGTAATCATAATTTGCTTTCATAGATTAAGATTTATAACAAATATTGATGAGTTGTACAAGGAAAAAGTAGAAAGTATACATGAAAAACTTGGGAAAAATAATTTGTCATAAATTAGTTGGAAAATTAAATCATATAAACACAATCCCACATGAAGTGGTATACATAAATGGTATGTTTAAGAGGATCAGGATTAAATAGTGCAAAGGGAAAAGTTCCTTTTATGGTACTTGAACAAATTGAGTCAATCTCTCTGCCCACACAATATATTTACTTGACCATGTTCTACATCCTCAGGTTCATGTTTAATAAATGCATGTGTGTTAGATAAAGGACAACTCCTAATCATAATTGGAACTGTAATAATTACCAGAATGGATACTTGAATCCAAACTTCAAGCTCATTATGACAACAGTTCCTGCTACTTTTTTTTTTGCTTCTATTATAACTCTCTATTAGAATTACAACTCGCAGAATCATGTTTTTTTTTAGTGTTCTTGTGACACAAACAGAAGCAGGAAATTAGTGTTAGACACACTAGTAAATAACCAATAATAAATGCCAATAATAGTCTCCTTGTGCTCACATTCATTCTACTTGCTACACTTGTATTTGTAAGGCAATATATATAAGGATTGTGTACTTTATTTTTTAAAAATAAAGAGAATAAGAGAAATAAGAGAAACAATTGAGCTATAAGGGTATGCAAGATAGATTAATTGCCTGCAGGCATCTGAAAGTCTCCAGGCCAGAAGACATGTACAAGCGTCTTGGAAAGGGAAAATGGGAATGTGTTGGGCACCATTGACTCTTCTGGTTGGCACCCCAAGAACCACATCTCCTCCTATTCTTCCTTTTCATTTGTAGATCTAAGGACAAAATTCCTTAGTGTCCAAAACTTAAGCAGCTAATTATCTAAAGAGAAAAGTCCTGCTCATTGGTCTAACTTCTTTGTGAAGATATAGGAATATTTTGTGATATATTGAATTTTTCACTATTCCAATTATAGTCTTAATTTACAGTTTTATCAAGATATATATACACTGAGACATATGAGATAGTAGGGTAGTCTATAAATATTTACTTGAGTAATATATATATATTTTGTGGGGCGGGGGGGGGTCCGGTCATGGGGCCTGAACTCTGGGCCTGGGCGCTGTCCCTCAGCTCTTCAGCTAAAGGCTAGTGCTCTACCACTTGAGCCACAGCGCCACTTCTGGCTTTTTTCTTTTTGCTTATGTGGTGCTGAGGAATCGAACCCAGGGCCTCATGCAAGCAAGGCAAGTGCTCTACCACTGAACCACCTTCCCAGACCCATATTTTTTAAAATTCTTACCATTTTGTTTAATAGATACAGGTTCAAGTACAATACCTAAGTCCTGGCTCCAAAGTACCTTATTTTGAAATACTGTTTCCAGCTCATTACTTTTGTGATTATGTCTATTACATCATTTTGACATTTTGCATTGCTTTCTTTACTAGTCAAAGTCTCCTTCAGCAGAAATTCTCTGTACTCAGCACATTGCCAGCATAGTATATCAATATTTGTTGAATGAATCACTTGATAAAATAATAAAAAAGATAAGAAAATCTCACAGATCAAAAGGAAATTCAATGTATCTCCCCTTTGAGAATTTCCAAGAGATCCTCCAGGAAAATGTACTGGTGTGTCTCTCTGCTTACTGAAGGAAGTCCCCTCAAATAGCTTCAATGCCCAAGAACTGAGAAAGGTGCACATGCAGGGCTCGATTATGAAAGCCAAAAATTTTAACAAAAATATATATGAGCCGGGTGCCAGTGGCTCACGCCTGTAACCCTTGCTACTCAGGAGGCTGAGATCTGGGGATCACAGTTCAAAGCCAGCCCAGGCAGGAAAAGTCTGTGAGACTCCAATAAACCACTCAGAAAACTGGAAGTGGTGCTGTGGCTCAAGTGGTAGAGCGCTAGCCTTGAGCTGAAGAGCTGAGAGACAGCGCCCAGGCCCAGAGTTCAAGCCCCATGACCAACAAAAAAATCAATAAAATAAAATAAATATGTACATAAATGCTTTCAATTGACTTTTTTGTTTCATGAGATAGGAAGCAGTATGGAACAGCAAGAAGAGTACAAGCTGCTTGTGGGTTGGGGCATCCTGGGATTTGAACTAAGATACTACTCTACCACTTGAACTGTGCTTTCAGCCCTTTTTAAATTAGTAAATATTTTTCTAGCAAAATCTTGTACTTTCACTGGGGCTGGCCTCTGACCATGATTCTTCTACTTCTGCCTCCTGCTGTACAGCTGGATATACAAATAAGCCGGCACACCTAGCTTGTTCTGGGCAGAACATCCTCACTGACATTTTACCCACCCAAATGCAATATTTATACTTATTGAATGACAACGCCTCACCATTTTCCCACTTCAGGTCTTTGTGCAAGTTACTAACTGCCTCAGTTTCCTAAAGAGATAATAGGAAGACTATCATTGTCACAAAAGTCCTTTGCACTGAGCCTTATATATCATAACTGTGAGTTCCACCTGTTATTAAATGCTTCATCTGTGCTTACCCTTACACTAGGAAACACATTCATATCTACACAGCACCTGCCTGCCATCTGCAATGCTAACAGTATCTGTTTAACCCTGCATTTCACCCTTACACTTCTTACCTTTACTTTGGAGGTAGGCACAAAGTAAAGAAGCAGACAAGTTGCAAAATGGAAATTCGAAGAGGCTTTTCTGTGCTCCTCCGGTGACACCACAGGAACAGGAGGCTAAGAAAGAGATTTACTGGAAAGGACAATGAAAACTGTGATGTCAAATACCTGAACAGCACTATCATACTTACGCACTATCATAATTTAGAAAATGTGCAGGGACACCAACAATCTTTAGAGCCAAATCTTTTTTTTTATGTCAGTACTGGGACTTGAACTCAGGCCTTTCACCCTTACTTGACGTTTTCACTCAGATGCAGCACTCTACTACTTGAGCCACAGCTCCAGTTCTGGCTTTTTGCTTAGTTAATTGGAGGTCAAGAGTCTTACAGGCTTTTCTGCCTAGGCTGACTTCAAACGGTGATCCTCAGATCTCAGCCTTCTGAGTGGGCAGGGTTACAAGTGTGAACCTCAATTTCTTTTAGGACTCTCCTGCCTCTGTTCCCCTCTTCCTGGACCCTCAGGGCTAGGACACGCCTCCTCGGCGTGGCTCAGTGCCCCTGAGCTCTCCTCCTGCTGGAGTACATTTCCTCTCCTCTGTTCTCTGTGGAGATGAAAAGCAGCTGGCGTTCATCCTCGGTACATTAATGCTTCATCTTCTGAAGGCCGCTGTGACTCCCGCACACACCCACACTCCTCACCGGCTTTTATCTTCCTAGGCTCAACCGGCCTCCAAGCAAAACAGCCATTTCTTCCCCCACTAAAATGTGGACACTCTGGTGTAATTAGGCCATTATAATTTTAAAAACTATACGGCTTTCCTGGATAAAAGCCATATCTTTAGGAGTTGTCCCTCGTTTTGATATAGGAAATAATTTGTGGAAAAAAAATAATTTCCAAATGAATACTCTGACATGGAAGGACCCAGCCATTTCTCAAGGAAGATGTTTTTCTCTTGTTCTTGCGTTCTGAGCACAGCCCGGGGGGCGGGGGGGGGGGGGGGGGGGAGGGCGGTAAATTAAAGCATTTTCTTTGCCTGAGAGGTTTACATGTGGAAGTGGAGCCTGGGGTAGCGAACTCTGAAGCTTAATTTGTAGCCATAGTAAATATGGCCACCTGGAACTCCAGGAGTGAATGGGTGGCGATAGATGGGTTTAGGCCCTTAGCCCTGGCAGGAAGTAATCTCTACTCTGTAAGAAGCACAGCATGTGAAGACCAGCAAGCATGGCAGCCTTTCCTCTGTGGCATCAGGCCAGACCCCCAAACAATGAGAGATTAGCAGAGGAAATGGCAGCATATCCATGTCCGCACACTCCAAAGGGGCTGGGGAAGTATTTATAGCAATGAGTAGGCGAGTTGCTGTGACTAAAAGATGGGGGGGGGGGGAGCGGGGAGGGTGTTTGCATGACTTGAACCACTTCATTTAATTAAACTGCTCAAGTTATAACAGCTTAAT